GAAAGGAGCAGGAAGACCTGTTTTGTGGGTGAAGGGGCTGAGTGCTAAGGTGGTAAATAAAAGCCTGGGAATTCAAGTATGGTGCTAGGGACAGAAATTACACACAAACCGGTTTAAATAATCAGAAACTGGTTTAAACCTGTAATAGAACACAAGCTCAGTTCACATAAACCAGTTTCATAATAGCTGAAACTGGTTTAAGATTAACCTGATTGAATGTGGTATCAGACTTAACTGATTTAAGTCAAACCAGTATATAAAACTTCTGTCCCAGACCCCTTCCTGGTTCTAGTTAAATCACAGTCCCCCAGCATGCTTTGCAGCCCTGGGCTGGGCTGTGCAGCAGCAGAAAAGGGTCGAGGGGTGGGGGGAGAGGCAGGGGACTGCCCCCCACCCTGCAGCAAACCCCAGCTGGGATCTGAAGCTAGGGAGGGGGGGTTAAACCCACCTTCCCCTGAGTATAGCGCTTCCCTGCTGCTAAACTTACTGCAACTTACAGCTGGCTGTGACTGTGGACTACAAATCCCAGAGGCACCTGGAAGCAGGAAGAGGAAGTGATAAGCAATCCTGCCAGAGTCCTGCTGTTGTGATTTTTGGACTGCAAATCCCAGAGATCTTGGGGACAGCAGGAAGAGGAAGCAAACACACAGCCCATGCTGGCTATGTGCCAGAGAGGTGAGATCTAGTGCCCTCTAGCTTCTGGCCTGAGCCACTTCAGTCATCTGGCTGCATTTGCTGAATCAAAAGTAAATGTGTGTCCAGTTGTTTCTCAGTTTAATCTTTTAGAGTCATTCATAGATTGTAAATCCGGAAGGGACCTCGGAAGATCATTGGGTCCAGGCCCCTGCACCAAGCAGGAAAGAGAACTGGGGGTCAGGTGACCCCAGCAAGGTGACTGTCTAGTCTCCTCTTGAAGATTTCCAGGGTAGGTGATTGCACTACCTGTGGAGGGAGCTTATTTCACAGTCTGGACACCCTGACTGTGAAGAAGTTTTTCCTAATGTTGAGCTTGAATTGGTCTTCCAGGAGTTTGTGGCCATTACTCCCAGTTTTCCCCTCGGGTGTAAAACAGTTGTTCACTGAGCCCTTTATGCACTCTCCTAGTGTAGCGGTAAGCTGCTCCCAGGTTTTTCATAGACATAGATTTCATAGACATCAGGGCTGGAAGGGACCTCGGAAGATCATCGAGTCCAGCCCCCCGCCCAAAGGGCAGGAAGTCAGCTGGGGTCGTAGGATCCCAGCAAGATAAGCATCCAGTTTCATCTTGAAGGTGTTCAGTGAAGGCGCTTGAACCACCTCCGGTGGCAGGCTGTTCCAGACCTTGGGGGCTCGGACAGTAAAGAAGTTCTTCCTTATGTCCAGCCTGAAACGATCTTGAAGTAGTTTGTGACCATTCCAGCCTGAAACGATCTTGAAGTAGTTTGTGACCATTGAAGTAGTTTGTGACCATGAGGTCCCCCCTCAGCCTTCTTTTCCCCAGGCTGAAGAGTCCCAGATCCCTCAGCCTTTCCTTATATGGCTTGCCTTTTAAGACTCTGGTCATATGGGTGGCTCTTCTCTGGACTCTCTCAAGCTTGTTCACGTCCTTGTTAAAGTGCGGTGCCCAGAACTGGACACAGTACTCCAGCTGCAGTCTCGTCTGCGCTGAGTAGAGCAGAAGAATCACCTCCTTGGTTTTGCTGGAGATGCATCAGTTAATGCATATCAGAGTATTATTTGCCCTACTGGCTACAGCATTGCACTGCCAGCTCATATTCATACTGTGGTCTATTATTACTCTTCAGCTTGGACTAACCTACAAAGACTGAATCGATTCAGCTTCGGACTTCTTGACTGTCTGTACTTAGCATGGGTGTGTGCAAGTGATCTTAGGTCTATTTTCATGGTCCTTGCTGGGTTCAGAATTTTTTTTTTTCCTGCCTGGAGACATGCCATTCTGAGATTCGCTCCAGAGCCCATCTGACCAGTGCCAGGGCTCCGTCTCGCAAAGATGCAGGGCTTGGCATGGCATGCCAAAACCACTTGGGGTTTCAGCATGTCACACCAAGTCCTAAATTGTAGGCCAGACTTCAGTGGGAACCCTGGGAATATCTCCTAGGATGTGTGAGTTGGTGTGGCCAAGATGGGTTTTTTAAATTTTTTAGTTTTGGGGCAGCTGAGAGTATTCAGGTTGCAGCTGATAAGAAACCATCAGGTCCGTGGGCTTGTGAAGTGTCTCTGAAGCTGAGCCTCATGCTGCCAGTTAAAAGGGGAGGGCTTGTGGCTGCGCATGGCCTCTTTTTGCTGGGTAGGTGGCCCTTTCACATGGCCCATCTATTTTTTTTTTTTTTTTGTGTGGCCAGGGGCATTGGATTATCTGTGCATGTTTCTGACAGGTGGCAGTTTGAGCCCTGGGTCTCCAGGGAGGTGAGCAGGCAGGCCTATTCTGTGGGTGAAAGGCCTGCGTGTTAAGCTGCTGGAGAAGCAGTGGGTAGCTCATGTCTGGTGTGGGCAAATGATTTTCAGTCTGATTTTGTGGTCCTCACTGGGTTTAGAAATTTTTTTTTCCACTGAGACATGCCAAGCTGAGATGCAGTCCAGTTTCATAATATGTAGAGTTTCATAATCTGTACAAACAGCACCAATTTGTTTAAGATCCAATGCACAAACAGCACGAAGAATATCAATTGCTGGCTGTTTACTTTTTTACTGCATACTGTCTTGATTTATCAACAGCACTCTGAACAGCTGTGGACTCTTTTGCATTATCCGTTGACAATGCAAGATGCTCTATCCATGAAATTAAATCCAGGAATTTAAATCCAGCTCTACTAATAGAGGACCATAATGAAAATGGTAGCCATGTAAATGCAATACTTTGTGTAGTTGGTGTTTTTAGAACTGTAAGGGCACCTACATATGTGCTCCGGGGTGGAAGTGGGGGATACTTTAATTAGAGTGACTGTGAGTTGCTCTAATTAAAGTGCCCACAGCATCACATGTTTTCAGCATCCCGTGCTTCAAAATGGTGGTGAGGTCACTCTAAGTAAAGCTTGTTCAATGAGCTTTAGACAAAGTGCCCCCACTGCCATTTTGAAACTTGGGGGCACTGAATACACGTGACGTGGAGGCTGCTGGGGTGTGCTAATTAGCACCCTCCAGCAGACTCTCAGAAGACTCAGTTAATTGTTGCGTTAGAAGTTCGTCACGTGTACAGATGCTAAAATATCCAGTGCTGTCACTAAGCATTCATTAGTTATCTGTAGGCATCCGGGTTTTCAGTTTCCCATGGAAAAATGGAGTAAATAGCGGATTTTACCTTTTGCTGGAGGCAAATGCAGATTTCTTGTTTTACCAGAGAAACCCGCTGATTTTCCAGTTTTGCAATGAGCTCCCTTCAGGCTGGCAGAGTCCCAGCCTGCAGGGAGCAGGAGGAGGGTGGTGAGACAGGGGGTGCCACACACATCTACATGCACATGGCCCCCAGCAGCCCAAGGGCAGCTCCTGCAGGTAAGTGGGGGAGGTGGGGTGGGAAGAGGGGGATTGAGGCCCCT